AGAGTGCCCACCCTCTTGGCCTCACCTGACCCTAATTATCTCCCAAAGGCCCCATGTCCAAATACCATCACATTGGGATTAGGAATTCAACATATGGGGTTTTTGTGTGTGTGTGTGTGTGTGTGTGTGTAAGGGACAAAACATTCAGTCTCTTCAAATAGTGGAGTTTAATTCTTCTCCCCTTGAGTGTGAGCCATACTTCAGTGACTCACTTTTTTTTTTTTTGAGACAGAGTCTCACTCTGTTTCCTGGGCTAGAATCCCATGGCGTCAGCCTAGCTCACAGCAACCTCAAATTCCTGGGCTCAAGCAATCCTTCTACCTCAGCCTCCCAAGTAGCTGGGACTACAGGCATGTACCACCATGTCCGGCTGACTTTCTCTCTCTCTCTCTCTCTCTCTCTTCTATATATATATATATATATATATATATATATATATATATTTTGAAACAGAGTCTTGCTTTGTTGCCCAGGCTAGAGTGAGTGCCGTGGCGTCAGCCTAGCTCACAGCAACCTCAAACTCCTGGGCTCAAGCAATCTGCTTGCCTGAATTTGAGGTTGCTGTGAGCTAGGCTGACGCCATGGGATTCTAGCCCAGGAAACAGAGTGAGACTCTGTCTCAAAAAAAAAAAAAGTGAGTCACTGAAGTATGGCTCACACTCAAGGGGAGAAGAATTAAACTCCACTATTTGAAGAGACTGAATGTTTTTGTCCCTTACACACACACACACACACACACACAAAAACCCCATATGTTGAATTCCTAATCCCCAATGTGATGGTATTTGGACATGGGGCCTTTGGGAGATAATTAGGGTCAGGTGAGGCCAAGAGGGTGGGGCACTCTTGACAGGATTAGTGCCCTTGTAAGAAGAGACACAAGAGAGCCCTCTCTCCCCTCTCTTTCTGGCACGTGAAGACACAGAAGGTAGCACTCACCAGGGACAGAATTTGCTGACACTTTGACCTTGGACTTCCTGGCATCTAGAACTGTAAGAAATAAATGTCTGTTGTTTAAGCCACTCCGTCTATTGTATTGTTACAGCAGAGTGAAAGACGGGAACAGCAAGGAATTTGCAGCCATCACACCAGAGGTTTGTCATGGAGGGAACAGAGTGTTAGGATTAAGCCCGAGCTTTGAAGTTGGAAGGAACTGAGTTCACACCCAGGGAACTTGGACAACACCTTTGAGCTCTCTGAACCTCAGAAGTCCCTTCTGTAAAGTGAAAATAAGGTGGTTGTGAACCTGCCTTTGAATTGCAAGACACATGGCCCAGCACCATGTAGGCCCTCAATAAACAGGGTAAGTGCAGTTCTTGTTATTAATATTACTGTATTTTTTGTATTTGTTCATAAGATACAGTGGAACAGGCAGGGTAGGGTCTTTCATGGTTTCAGGTGCCAGGCTGGACTTGAAAGCACTGGGGAGCCATGGGAGATGTGTGAGCAGGGGAGAAATAGGAAAGGTCCCTTTGGGACTGGAGCGAATGACTAGGAATTGAAGTTTGGGACGCCAGGGATGACACTGGGACAGGCACCCAGATGTGTTTCTAGACCTGAGCGGTGGCCATTGGGATGGAGGGTGTGAGAAAAAGACAGTAGCTCAGGATGAGTACTGAGTAAGAGTACTTAGGATGAGTACAAGCTTGAATGGTGACCCCATGAGAAAGGTTGGGAGGAGCAGTTAAAGGGGGTGGGGTCAGGGTATGGATTTCAGTTTTGACTTGGCTTTGCATATGTCATTGCCTTTGCTTAGGATGTCTTTTCTTTTTTTTCATCTGTTCTGTTCTGTTCTGTTCTGTTCTGTTCTGTTCTCTTCTCTTGTCTTTTCTTGACAGAGTCTCGCTTTATTGCCCAGGCTACAGTGAGTGCCGTGGTGTCAGCCTAGCTCACAGCAACCTCAGATCTGTGGCCACGCGGGGGCAGCAGTGAACAGGTCAAAGCGCCTGAAAGCGACGCTCAGGCGCTGGACCGCAGCATCCCCAGGGCTTCCCTTCCCAAGACATCCCCTTCTTTTTTAAAGGGGGGGCCACCATGACCCAGCTGTGCCCACCTAACTCACCAACCTAGTGACCCATGCCCCACAGCCCAACAGCTGGTGAACATTATGCAAAGCCTAAGTCAGATCATTCCCTCTTCTGCTCAGAACCCTCCATGGCTCCCACCTCACCCAGGGTAAAAGCCCCCTTCCCCGCAGTCCCCAAAGCCCCACAGACCTGAGCCACCAACCCCATCCTCATCTCACCTGTCTTCATCCTCAGCGTCATTCTCCATTGCTCACTCTGCTCCAGGCACAAAAGCCGTTTCTGGTTCCTCAAATCAAATTCATGATTGATTTGGGTTTTCAAAGCTTTGAGGCCTAGAAAATTCCATCTTTGTGGTTCCTTTGCAAATGTGTAGTCGATTCAAATTAGGTTTTTTTTTTTTTTATGTTTGAAGACAGAGTCTGTGCTTGTTGACCAGGCTAGAGTGAGTGCCGTGGCGTCAGCCTAGCTCACAGCAACCTCCAACTCCTGGGCTCAAGCGATCCTCCTGCCTCAGCCTCCCGAGTAGCTGGACTACAGGCATGTGCCACCATGCGCTAATTTTTTTATATATATAAGTTGGCCAATTAATTTCTTCTATTTAATAGTAGAGACGGGTCTTGCTCTTGCTCAGGCTGGTTCGAACTCCTGACCTTGACAATCCGCCCGCCTCAGCCTCCCAGAGTGCTAGATTACAGAGTGAGCCCCGCGCCCGGCT